AAAAGGACTATTTTACCGATAATTGACCCGGGAGTTTTCTTTGATGTTTTCTCGTATAGCACGGAGAGAGGTAGACGGCGTAGACGCGCTTATTTCTATGTGAAATTTGATCCATTTTTAGCAGTCGATCTAAAAGATCATACCGCGCCTACTAACGTTGTCTTTTATCTCTGCCGCGTCAGCGTCGCTCGATGTGCCGCCGAACGTCTATTGTCTTTCCGTCTATTGTCTTTCCGTCTCATCGTGGTTGGACGGACGGTTCTCTCTTTTTTTGTTGAATCAATAAAATTTTCAACAGCACGCGTAATTGGAGTATATGTTCTTGATTCAATAGCGATATTATTAAAATTAATACTTGAATTATTGAAATAATATATAATGTGATAATTTTAGTATTGCCATTAAATCAAGAAGATTTATTCCCTATTTCTAAATTTATCAAATAAATTTTTAAGTTTATTAAATCAATGTTTAAGGCTCCTGGGGAGTCGCATCATCCATCTCTTTTTAATGACGTCAGAAGCGAGAAAATGCATGCTAAAAATTCCTGCAAAATACGTCGAGATAAACAGATATATCCACAAAACGACATTTGCGATCGATTAAGTACATCTCTAAAATACTCCGTACACTTTCCTTTTGTTCTAACAATCAACAGATAATTATAAAATAAATGCGACGTGCAATCGTCTTTTCTAACCTAATTTCCTCATTATCTTGTCATATTAATTTTCCGATTATCTATTGATTTTTAGAACAAAAGGAAAGTGTACGGAGTATTTTAGAGATGTACTTAATCGATCGCAAATGTCGTTTTGTGGATATATCTGTTTATCTCGACGTATTTTGCAGGAATTTTTAGCATGCGTTTTCTCGCTTCTGACGTCTCTTAAAAAGAGATGGATGATGCGACTCCCCAGGAGTCTTAAGTTGATCAAAGTAAAACGAGAGAAGCAAGAAATTCTAATTTTATTTTATTAAACTAAAAGAATGACATTTTTTACTGATGCAGTTAAAATAAAAATATTATAATTTTATTTTTAATATATTCACATATGTATAATAAGTTTAATATGTTTCCTAAACATATTAGATATAGAAATGGTAAAAGAGAAAAAAGATGCAAAAAAGAAGAAATAGTGACATTATAAAATTATTTCTTTCAATTATTGTTTCTTTTAATAATTGGATTGGTAATTTAATAATTATTATTTAATTATTACACATATTATATGTGCTTAAATATATTTCGGTCGAAATGATCGATACGCGCCCATTAACGTTGGTCCCGTTCACGCGCCCACTTCCAGGTTAATTAACATTCACTGATTTTCAATGAGGACGTTCTCACTTTACTGCTTCTTATTTCTCGTAGATTTTAACCAACGAAAATAAGATTTTACTGCAAAACCTCCTGTAATATACGATATACTTGTTATGAGCAGTAGCAAATCCAACTTTTTTGCGGCAATGGAATTAACGGCTTCTATGGGCCTCGCGTGCGCATGCAATGACATTGCACGTATTTACAAAGTGATCAATAATGAGAACAGTCGTTGCTATCAACTGATCCTTTCAGCGGGATTTTATCGATTGCAGTGCTGTACTTACTATAACTGAACCACCGATCGAAAATATAGCATTTTGGCGAAGATACACTGATATACTGTTATTTTAGGGAGTATCGACTTTCGTCGATTCATCAGAAGGAAAATAAAGTGTCGCGACTTGTCGTGTTCGAGCGACGCTCGGAGGTGGCTCAGCTCGCTCGATCGCGCGCGCGCGCGCGCGCGCGTTCCTGGTTGAAATGTTTGCCTAGTAACGAGTAGATTACGTCGATTTGCGCGGCCGAGTATCGCACCGAGCGTTATCACTGAGTCACGTAGCGCAGTCGCGTTACTTTCAATAAAAGGCGAACGGGTTGCGGGAGCAAGCATGCAAGCGAGCAAGGGATGGAGGGAGAGGTGTAAGGAGCGAGAAAGGGCGTCGGCGACGAGAGGGCTCAAGGTGGAGAAACATAGGTAATTCCGCGTTTCTCCCTTTCTAACCCGCGCACGGCACGTACACACACGCCACTGCCATCATCACTGCCAGACTTCGATCCTGCGCGCAGCTTCGTCGTCTCTCTTTTTTCGCGGCGCGCATTCGCTCGGAGCCTTGTTAAGTCCTTGCTTTCGGGCCGCGTTATAATGGCGCAAATAATCGACCCGAGCGAGTACGCGCTTGTAATCTACCGCTAATGCAATCGGCTAAACGACGGATGGTCCTCGTTGATTTTTCCTTGCTGCACGCGCTCCTACTTTTGCGAGCACGTAGCCGCTACACGAAGAGAATATTATAGTTTTTCATATTTTTTAAATTCTTTTTAATTTTTTTATAATAAATCCAGGATTGTCAATTAGGTCTCTGTCTGTTAAACCTGGTAGAAATTGAGTACAGTTTTCATGCAGTTAACTGGACAGTTAACTTTCGTTTAGTTTACTGAAGAGTAAACTAAACGGTTTTCAGTCAAGATGTGTAACACTTTTCCTGCAATTATTACGCACGAAAGATATGCAGAATCTGTTTACTGAGCGAAATGGGCGCAGGTGTCATAAAATTGAACGAACATGACACTGTGTCTTGGAAAGAATCACGTTCACGTATTGTACGGTTGACTGCTTTGACCAATGAATAAATAAACTCTATCTTGGCCGGTTAATATTTTTACAACCGATGAGAATGCATTAATATTGGACGATAACTGAGCGGATGTCCGCTCACACATTTCTACCAGGATCGTAAATGTATCTTTTTCGTCGTCATTCGCGCGTACGAACGTCTCGTGGGGGTCGGGCAGTATCCTTTCGAGACTGTCGGGCTGATTCTAGGTGCACTTGACGAGAGACGTACGTCGCATTCGTACGTAGAGCTGCGTGTTAAATCGACGCGCTCGTTGACACAAGCCGGAGCTCGGGTGACCTCTGGACTATACACCTTCCGACTTGTTTGCCGAACGCTACCCTAACGAGCTTTATTAACGATAATCGATTCGCGGAGTTGTAGAGCGGAACGATCGATCGTACGAGGTCGATGTGCCGCCTCTGAATTCTATCGCGACGGCTTTGTCCATAAATCGCTCTCAATGGAAAGTAATAACGGAGCTCTGTAGTGTCTCCGTTATTTAGTGGTATGATGGTTGCCGACACTCGTACATTTCCGATACCGGTTCTCGTTCCCAACTCGTTATCATGCTCGAATCGAAACGCGCGGTATCGATGAAGACGCAACGGGGGCTCTCTCGATATTCAACGTTTCAAATATTTGGCACGTTTGTAAAATCGATCGTTAAAATCTCAGCGAAATCTTTAAGGCGAAATTTGAGTGAAATCTCCACGGTGATTCGCGACAAAATGAAAGGATGCTGAACTCTTTTACGACAAAAGAAAAGATTTCACAGTTAATCACGATTGGCTGAAAATGTATTCGCAATTAAAACTTTGGTCGCTACATTCGTCTCATGGCTGAATATATGTCTACTACACTAGGAGAGAGAATTGTATAGTAAAAATTAGCATAGCTGTAGAAGTGCGCCATTAAAATACTTGCTGTATTTTACAGCGAAATCTGCTGTTTTTAAAGAAATGCTCCTCAGCAAAATAGACCTTACTGATATCTTATTCTTAGACTGCTAAAAATATAGTAGAATTGAAAAGAATTTGTTTGAAAAAAAAAAAAATTCTCTTCCCGTGCAGTTATATTTTTAATAAATATCCGTCAACGAGATTTAGCTACCACACGCAGATCATTGTATCTTCTTCAAAACGAAACACTTGTTTAATCGCGAATAATTCGTCAATCGAGAGAGTACGCCGAGAGTAAAAATTGTCTCCTTTGTCACTCGATGACCTTCGAGACGAAAAAAAAAAGAAGGAAATCGATATTAAAAATGATTACACTCGTTCTCGCGCTACTCTTTTTATACATACCCCGGGACGCAACGAGACCCACCAACGAGCGTGACTCGCTAAGGTAGTCCTTATTAAATCTTCCTCGTTCCCATTAGAGGCAGAAATTACGGATAATCCTTTTTATTACGCACGCTACGCGGACTCCCATGGCAAGGGGGCGCAGAAAGGCAACCGGTACGTTAAAAAAAAGTCGAGATGGGTCGCGGCACGGTTCGACGCGGCATGGTGGTCCGCGTTTCCCATTCCCGACAACAAAGCGCTTTTAAACAATCTCCATTGTACCCGTAATCCCGAGCCATGCGTGAAATCAACACGTTTTTCCACTTAATTGACAAACACACGCCTCTCCGTCCGTGTGTTCCGACGAGCGCCCACCGAACGTGACTTATAACGGTTGCGTATCACGAGAATAACGAGCGATATAACAAATGCTACTCTCAGGTAGCTCGCAAGATCCGCTCGCGAGAGACGACGTATAACCGCGACGACGATCGCGACGTAGCGAAATAATTGTGACGTTTCGAGCAAGAAAGTATCCGTTCTATTCGCGCGTGTCGAAGAGCGATCAAGAAGAAAATAAGAAAAGAACGAGCGTTGGAAAGCACGGCCTCTTTTAGTCGCGGATTAATAGCTATTAAGAGTTTTTTTTCCGAACGTCGACGGTGACGGCTCATTAATGTAAACTTCCTTCACTTCTTTTGAAGTAAAAAGTTACGGAAAAACAATCTCGCTCGTGTATGCGTACGTGATTGCGGTAAAACAAACAGTAAGATTCGCGCTAATAGCTAATTACTAATGGCGGTTTTGTCCGTGAATCTCACGACGGATCGTCGCAGAATTTTATCCGCGGGGAGAATATCCGTCGTGGAATGTCCTCGACGGAGAAAATGACAACTCACGAGGCTCGCGAGAGTTAATTGATGTTGATTAAGAGTTAATTGCACCAGCAACATAATCGACATCTAGTTCATCGCCGTGGGACAGGATAAATAGAGGGTTCGGTGATTCACACTGCGTGCAATAAGAAACAACACCCGTCATCTGTCGTGGTTCTATGTATATATACAATAATTTATTTCGCTACGTAATCGTTTTCTACATTTACAAATCGTTTTTTGCTCGAGCGAGTACGAGTACAGAGTATAGATCGATGCGCTAACGCACAACGTGTAACGAGCAGCCTCTCTTTCGCACGCACACTCGCGCACATGCGCATCTCCAGCGAGAAGAAACAACGCGAGACGCGACACACGCGGTGTGAAACTCGCTAGACAGACGGCGACGACGAGTACAGAGAGGAGGACGGAACTATATTCTCCATTCTCGACTCGTACAGAGATATTCCGCGCGATCTTCCCTCATGATGCGAGATTATCCCGTTCGTTAAATAGACGTTCGGTCTAAAATACAGAACTCGAATGCCCTCGAGAATACGGATGTTAAACGTCTGCGGTCGCGTGCAGCTCGGCAAAATATTTTGGCCTTCGCGAGAACGGGCAAATTTCACACCGGAGCGCGCCGGAGCTGTGCTTCGCATCAGGCCTGCGCAACATGTAACTAGGCAGTTTTATGTTTTACGTGTCCATTTTAATTTAGCCTCGCTGATAATGCTTAAACACACCTCACTTTTATCGTAAGCGCGCGTGGCTTCGCTTGGAATAATTGGCTCAACCGGCGATTCACAGAGAGAATCGTACATTTTCCGAAAATTTCGGCACGTCTTCTTCGTATGAGCGCTACAATCTAGGAAGGTAATCTAAGGAGATTCGGGCATTTGTTTTTCTTTTCGTGTAAAAGGAAACAAGCGCCGCTTGCGTCTCTTTTCAAAATAGACTTTTGACAATTTTCTTTTGAGAAAAAGAAATGCGATGGTGTGTGTGTGTGTGTGTGTGTGTGTGTGTGTTTGTGCGTGTGTGTATTTGTCGTCAAAATAATTTACAATACAATAACTATTGATCTCTCTTAACTCCTACTTCTCGAATCAAATAACTCTGAGTTCGGCTTAAAGATGTAATTTTTAATAAGTTAATTATATTAATCTATAAATACATACATACACATATATATATATACACTTTTCTAAAAAGAGAAGCGCGAGTAAATGCACATACAACTCTCCGTTTATTCCTCCATATAAATATTTTCAAGACATAACAATTCTGTAAATATCCTCAACTCGCAATAGTGAAATCTGGCGCTTTCTTCCTTTTACCTCTGTAAAGCATTTCAATCTATGGCGCGTGTCGCACGAAACTCGCTTGATTCGGACGCAAATAATTATCAGGTTGGTGTAAAAAGCTCTGTCATTATCCCGTTGAACGCTATGCTTTTTCCGCTGAAACAATCGACTCGTCTAGGAAAGAGACCGGAAAGTTTTGGAATTAAAAGATTTCCAAGTGGAAAGAGCACAAAACTAATTCCGTTCTGAATTTGATCCGACGGACACGGCATGTCCGTCGCGAATGAAATCGCCAAGTTGCACAGGCCTGGCGCGCTCGGAGTAACATAATCGACTTTAAAGCTCTTCTACAACGGTCGCAATGTCGATTGTGACGCTCCTTACGACAATGACCGCAAACTCGTGACGTGACTTGTCTGTAGCTACACTAGCCAATCAGTGGTACAGCTTTATAACACTGACGCTTCCGATTGGTTATGGCAGACAAGTTCCCGCCATGAGCATTGCGACAGTCGCGCTTGTGACGCGCGTTGCGACTGAGTGTGATCTCTGGAGTCCCTCGAGTAAAACGCGTATTCTGAGCTTTTTTTTATCGCTAACAGCGCCTCTAGAATTGGCCCTATAAACCTTCTTAATGCTTTCTTAAAATGAATCAATGAAACATCACTCTGATTTGCAGTTATAAGTGTTGCACTTTCACAGTGCTCAGTGCTATACTTGTAACTGATATATCAGTGACTATTCACTGATTCACTTTAAGAAAGTGAGTCGCTTTTAGATAAAAGAGAGTTTAGAATATAGGCTTGAAAATCTGTTGGGTTCTGTTGCGAACCGATTGGAGTAATTTCGTTTTCCATGAGAAAAGAAATCTGGAGAATAGCAGGATAATTCCGATCGGGATCCATTTCGATAAATTCCATTGCGTGGTCCGCAGGGCTATTCTGTAACTTTTGACGATCGTGTATCGTTGCGTTATCGTTGCGCAGATATAATACATGGTAGAAAAGCTGCGCAACGAGATACGCCATGCTAATGACATTATCGTTAGGAAATTACAGAATAGGGCTCTGCCGAGAACACTTCCGGAACTTCTTGCCGGAATTGGTTTTTGTTTCATCGAAAATGGCGGATCTGAAAATTATCGCATAAAAAGACTCTGCAAAATTTTAGAGACTCTTCCGCAGAAGGCAGTGCGATCGACATTGCGGCGACACTGTAGACGAGCCTTTAGATCCAACAACGTCGGTGCTTGCGCTCGCACCTGCTCTCCTACTCATCTAGAGATCGTCTAATTATTGAATTACGTAGACAGAAGCCGCGACACGACTTCGGCGGATGCTTGAGCGATAATCGTTATCTTCATGCACGAGGACGTGCGGCGCTGCTGCCGAGCTTTCGCGATCGACGACGACGACGATGACGACGACGACGGCCGTCATTTTTTTGGCGCGTACGCAAGATCGCCGTGTGGAAATGTGAATAACTGTAAAGTCAATTATCGGACAGCGTTCGCAAGTCCTCGGGGGCCAAGCTCGCGACGAAAACCAATATCAAGCGAAGACAACCTCCCGATAAGAAGACGGTATTTACGAAACGAGGAACTAACGAGTTATCTACGAGGTCTTCCTTCTACGCCTGTTTCGTCGATCCGCGACACATATGATCGTCTTCGAGTCAAGCGCGACTGTGCCGAAAAGCATCCCCGCGCGAACGTCCCGTCCGAATCGTCGCGTTCGCTCTACAAAGTAGCACCAGATCGCGCTCTCTTAAAGTAAGAATCAGTAAAAGTGTTTCTGAATCGGCGAACTTCACGGCGATGATCAGGTGAGTATTCGCTGAAATTTCATTGCAAAATCTGCAGCAAGGTGAAAGTACGAATGTCTGGACAACGTACCTGGGCATTCTTATTGTTTCGGTCTTTAAACATTTAAACTTTCAACATGGAGTATATATATACATATATTTTTTCGATGTTGAAAGATACTTAAAGGCCAAAGCAATAAGAATATTCAGGATACGTTAGGTTGGCTGCGTTATGTACGTGTCTAGCATTGATACTTTTACCTTACACAAATCCGTCTGCGGCGATGTAATTAACGGCTTTGCTTTGCTCATGCGCTTTGCGTGCGATGACACTGTCTCTGTTCGCAAAGTTCATCAGTAATGGGAACAGTAATTATTGTCAAGTGATCCAAGATTTTACCGATTGCAGAGTGATATAACTAAACTATCGATTATAAGTGAAGCAGCAGTTTAGCGAAGAGAGAGCACGCACGGAGAGAACTTCATATTGAAAATTATCGTAGAATTTTGCAATGGATCGACTGTCCTTTCGCTTCATATGTACACGAAGGAAACAGTATAATTGATCCGTACGTAAATCTGATTGGTACAAACCAGAGACTTATGAGTGGATCAACCGTATTGTATTTTCTGTGCGTTATTAAAAAACATGCCATGCCAAAAACATGTCTCTAGCGAAATTGATCATGTTCCTTGATAAGATGGACAGTTACCGACAGTTTATTCTACTGGAAATATAATGAAATTGAAAAGAATTCGTACGAAGAAGCAAACTATATAAAATGTTTTCTCCGTATATGTACTGATTGTACTTTAGAGAGCACGAGAGATCATCTGTAAGATGATCAACGCGGCCAAGAGGAGGACATCCGCGCACGGAAGCTTTTCGACGTATCCCGACGTAAGTAGTACGTACATTTGTTCCTTCGCTCATCCGACGAAATCGGACTCCTTCGCGAATGTTCCAGGACGGTAGAGACCTTCCGCGTCGTATCTACGCACGCTGGAGGAGCGCACGTCGTCTCTCCGTGTGTCGTCGAAACAGCGAGGGTGTCCCGTCGTCGTCGTCGTCGTCGTCGTCGTCGTCGTCGTCGTCTCGGTATCCCAGAGATGTGCCGGACGAGCGAAAGTGGAGTTTATGAGCGGACAGCGCGCAGAAGGAGCGCGTCCGAGGAACGCGATTAAAGGCGTCGAGAAGACGTCCCAAGTCTTGGTGGCATCCCACGTAGGAGCCGTTCGGCTGTTTTCGACCGGGACGCGGAGCGGAGTTCAAGTGGCGGTGCCGTAGGATGGCCTCGGAACGCCCGCGGTCGCGACGGAGTAGCCGGCGTAAAGCGGTCTGGGCGCGAGAAGCGAGGACTTTTTCGCGTGAGATTCGTCGGACAGCCTCGCAGTCGCCGCCGTCTCGTCACCGGCACCAACACTACCACCGCCACTGCCGGCGCAGTTCTCGCCGCCACCGCTACTCTCGTGCAGGTTGTCGTCGGGCGCGATGATGTTCTCGATGGTAAACGGCTTCTTCACCCGCTTCTCGGTGCCCGGTAACGCCGTATTCGTCGCGGTGAGAACGAGCGCAGCGGCGGCGGCCGTCGGGTCCTCGCGGCTGGGCAACGTTCGTTCTACCTCCATCACCAAACTCGAGATCGGCGAGAGGTGACGATAGGACTTGGACGCGGGCGAATTCGGTGAAGTCGGCGAGATCGGCGGCGAGACACCGCCGCCACCGCCGGTAGTCACAGCGCCACGGTACAGATTCATCCTGGACGATGAGGTGGACGACGACGAGGACGACGAGAGTGGCTCGTCCGCGTCGGCGAGTTTGTCGCGGTAGGCCGCCGCAACCTCATAAGTCTCACCTCCGAAAACAGCCGTCTCGCCTTCCCTGCTGTCCAGCGCACCGCGATGATCACCGGACGACGACAGACGTCGTCGCTCGTCCCGTATCTCCCGCGGTGGTGGGACGCTCTGTTGTCTGGCGGCAGCCTGCTGCTGGAGGTACGGTAGCTGCGACACGGCCGCGTACGACGACGGCGAGACCGGGAAGCCGGGAAAGTTCCACGAGGCGGAGTGCAAGAGCGCCGCCGCCTCGTACGTCCTCAGGATCTCGTTGCCGCCGTCGGCGGTCAGTCTCTGCCTGACCTCCGGTGACAGCAGGTAGTAACCGGCGACTGCTTCAGGCGCGGCAGGCACGGCCGGTAGACCAGCAGCAGCGGCGGTCGTGCCGTCGAACCTACCGAAGCCGCGAGCGGCGAATTCGCCGGGACCAGAGGCGGCGGCGGCGGTGGCGACCATCATCCGTCTCTCCTGTATCTCCCATCGGAGAAGGTCGTCTCGCAAGCGATGGAGGTTCGCCAGGCTGAGACCGTTGGCGGAACACGTCGCGCTCGCGTCCACGATGACCGTGGTTTCCGCGTGCGGCTGCGATTGCGGATGTGGTGCCGGCGGCGGCGGCGGCGGCGGCGGCGGCGGCGGCGGTGGCGGCGGTGGCGGTGGCGGCGGCAAAGGCGGCGGCATCGCCGAGGCGAGCGCCTGCAACTCGGACTTGAGCAGCTCCTTGTCCGGCTTGTGCAGCTTGAAGCGTTTCCGTCGGCGTAGGAGCGAGCCGTTCTCGAACATGGACAACGCGGCAGGGTGCAACGCCCAGTAGGCTCCCTTTCCCGGCCGATGCGGACCACGCGGCACCTGGAAATCCGCCACGGTTTATCACGCTGCTGCTGCTGCTGCTGCTGCTGCTGCTGCTACTACTACTACTACTACATCGACTGTTTGTCCGATTTAATCGGTACCCGAGAAGAGACCGAATCAGGTTGGGGTCATATCGGCCAGGCGGTTCGTATTCACATTGTGTAAAGGAAGATGAGCGCAAAATGTGCCTTTCGGAACCCGTGGAAAAATCTTCGAGCCCTATTCTCGACTTGAATTTTGTATATTTTGAAGGATCAATGTGTGTGTGTGTTCGGTACATATGGAAACTAAAGTTCTATTTGGCGCACCGTGAGTAACAGAAAACACACAAGATGCCACTTGTAAATTCCAAAGAGGCCCTTTTGGCAAAGCTAGTAGGTTAGAATGGAATCAAAAGAGGCTGAGACACAGTAAAAAAGATTTCATTACCGCAGCTAATCACAGCTTAATGAAAATATATCTATCGCTGTAACTAAAAATTTACTGTTGTAAAATTCAGGCTGTTGTTACGTCGGTTTCATGGCTAAATATACGCATACTAGCAGCTACACTTTAAGTATCCATATGTTACAACGAGATTCAGCTACTGCACAGATCCTTGCTGCCGCAGCTAACTTTTTTTTTTTCATAAAGTACGATAAAAATTTCGATTTGGGAAGTATATGTGTTCTGAAAGAAATATTGTGAATTTCCTTTGTATTATTTCTTCCGAATCGAAACTTTAACTCTATTTTCGACCTTAGCTTTCTAACACCTGTACAATCTGGTGGGATCAGTGTGTACATTTAATACACATAGAAACAGGAGTCCCTTTAGCGCCTGTAAATGGCAGAAAACATACAAAATGTCACTTGTAAGTTCTAAAGAGGGTCTCGCAAGGCAAAGTCAGTGAGTCAAATAGAATCTTGAGAAGTTGGTGTAAACTTCACAGTACGAAAATAGGCTGAAAATTTCGATTCGGGCTCTCACAATAAGTGGATAAACGAAACCGCGTGGCTAACTTGACTCGGTCTCTTCTACTTGTAATCGCACCATAGGCGGCTCTCAACGAGATTCCTCGAATACGTGGAATGATTGGTTGCGCTCGACGTCCGCGACGACGATAGAGAGCGGAAACGGTGACGTTGTCGTTGATCGGGAAACTCGAAACCGACTCGAAACTAGACTCGCGCTACTTGTCCGAGTCCACGCTCCATGAGCGACGAATATACCGGGGCGCTCTCTGCCGTGAGCCTTAATTGATATCTCGATGCGCGATCGAGACGGAAGATGCCGGTTGGTCGTCGCGTAAAACGCGCTAGAAGCGCAACGTCCGAGGCAATTACGTACGCTTCTCGTAAAGCACGGCCGCTCGTATTACACACAATCACAGGTGGGGGGAGGACTCGTGTTTTTCCTCTCTCGATATCGCGCGGAAAGATGCCTCAGTCGTCCACAGCACCTCGATGCTCTCGACGATGGCCGCGATATAACGCGCTCGGTCTCTCACAGCGGCGATTGATGAGCTGTAGAGAGCCCGCGGTTCATTACTTGCCAGGAACGAACAGGTTTTACATTTAATAACGCGAAACGATTATCTGCCGATCGGGCGAGTTAATTCGATCGGAAAGGCAACCTGCTGCCGGACAGATCTCGCGGAGGGAAGGAAATATATCGCGGCTGCTATTATTACATTGTACCACGCCTCGAAGAGGAGGTAGAGAGACGTGGTGATCAGCTCTCAAGCTGCGCTCTCGCCTCTTTGGCGACCGTCTCTCGCGCTTGTGTTACGGGACCAACTCGCGGAGTCGTGTTCGCGGCGGAGGAGGTAACGCTTTAACGAACGCACGTCGCACATTGCAGAATTTTCCGCGTTTGGCGGAAAGGCAGCAGAAGTCACTCGTCACTGCTGGTGATCAACTGGTAGTCGACAATTTCCGACTAGCGCGATCTGATTGGCTTCTACCTTTCTCGGTCGAGGTGTGCATTCTATGCCAACAAATTCTGCTCGCGTAAAACAAATCCGAAATTAGCACGAGAGAAAATTTGTAACTCGAAAAGGTTTCTCCAAATGTAACTCCTAATTGTGTGTGACTCGAAAACTGTTCGAGACGCGACATTTCTCAGGAAACTGACTCGAAACTGATCGATTGATCGGGAGAATAAGGGAAATCGGTGTCTGCCTGTTCTTTCGTACATGCTTTCGGACGCGACAATCTCGGCTCTGTTTGATTCGCGATCGGCTCTTCCGGAAGATGAAATTTCTCGCAGAGACATTATTACTTTCCACCGTTGCCGTTTATGGCTTCACGCTTTCTAACGACGATAATTATTACTCCTAGCGAGCAAAGACATACGCGATGCGAATTTTGCTTAATTTTGCTTGTTGTACGAATTCCACTAAAAAACAAGTAACGTTGAAATATTCTATATTCTAGTGTAACAATAATGAGAAACATTACAATTGTTTGTATCTGATCGGACGAAACGTTTCTTTGTCTTCTATTTCTCTCTTAGATTTTCTAATTTTCTAAGCGCTCCTACCGACACGACTCTGAAGGAGAATTCACATCTTAGCAGAAAAGCAGAAAGACAGAAACTCCAACCAAAACTCGCACTGGTAGTTGACAGTTCTTGCAGAATATCTTGCTTACTACTAACGCGGGTTCCAGTTGATTTTCTATTCTTTTCTGCTTTTCTGTCAAGATGTGAATTCTCCCTTATGCCCATATCAGATTGAGCACTGTATGAATTGAAGATTGCGATCGGACCAATCAGGTGATCTAAATCTTGGTTTTGCCTTATTTGATTGGTCCGATCCTCAATCTATAGTCTGATACGGGCATCAGTGCAGAATTATACGTTATTCCGAATACTCTTTTACCGACGAAAGTACCTCTAAATGCGGTTTATAGGCCTTTTGATTGACTCCCGCACTTAGAGACCCTTTAATCGATAAAAGAGAGAGTTCAAAGTAACCCGTAGAGTAGAAATTGATCCTATAGTCCTAATCAGGTCGATCCCAATCGGCTGTTTGGTACAAGGTGGTGTCCGGGTCCTGATAAATCATGTATCGTAGCGTGGCAATCAGGACCTTATTAATAATTAAGACCCGATAACATCACCTTGTACAAACCAGATTGGGATCAACTTGATCAGAGCTATGGGATATCTAGTCTTAGGGAACAGTCTTAGAAATGTAGAAGGAGAAGCGAGCGAGCGAGCGAGCGAGCCGACGGGTCTTTCGTAATTTTGTAGAACCGTGTGCGACCGTACGCGCCATGTCGGTGATCGCGCACGTTGGCAGGTGCGAAACAGATGGCCCGATAATACAATGACCAAACACCTTGCGCCCTGCGTCGCCGTCGCTTCGCGAGCTCGGACATTCGCGTTGAAAAGGCACATCGTCGCGCCGATCAACGACGAAGATCCGTTCCACCCCTCGTCACGCTTCATTCGACGTTTCCACGACCGCGCTTCGAGAGAGAGAGAGAGAGAGAGAGAGAGAGATGATACTTCTGGCTAACCACGAGGTTCTGGCGCAAATGGGTGGACAAGGCGCGTCGTATTCGTCGGACAAAGCCCGAAAGGAAACGAAGGTTACGTCGCTTTGAGGGGATTTTTGTTGTTGAGCGTCATGACCATTATGAGTACGTTCGGAAAGGACACTATCAACGTTCATTCTATCCTTGTTGTACATTTAAAAGGCGGCAAATATGAAATGAGCGTTGATAACGCATCTGATGTGTGCGAATACGACCAGACTTTGCGAGAGGACAAAGTAGAACGACTCGGAATAAAAACCACGGCGACATGAGCTCTCATCCTAAACTTTCTTGTTGATAAAAGTGCCTCTAAATATGACTCGCAAGCCTTCCGCAATTGTCTCAGCATCTTTATCGATAAAAGAGAGTTCAGGATAAGAACCATGGACTCTGGACGCGGCCCCGAACTAACCTTGATGAAGCAATCGTTGAAGGACAAGTTGTGCCTCAAAGAGTTCTGCCATCGTCGCGTGTCCTTCCTATAATACGGAAAGCGGTCAGCGATGAACTTGTAGATCTCGGCGAGCGGCAACATCTTGTCCCTCGACGACCATATCGCCATCGCCGTCAGCGATATGTAAGAGTAAGGTGGTTTCTGGTCACCGTAGGTATCGCGCGACGGCCGCGGCATCATCAACCAGAGCGATGCGGGTGGTGAAGGACGGAGGCAGGGAGAGAGACAGAGTAGAGAGAGAAAGAGAGAGAGAGAGAGAGAGAGAGAGAGAGAGAGAGAGAGAGGAGGACACGTCAAGGGGATTTCAATACACAGGCTCTGACTCCGCGGTCTGCGGGGTTCGTCCTCTAGGACTCTGGCTCTTCCGGATCCACGACGTTCAGCATCGTCCACGACGTTGGCTGACGTTGGCGCGACATCCTCCGGCCGAGTCGGCCTCGGGAAGAGCGCGAGAGAGGCTGTCGCCGTTGACGAGCGCCGCAGCAGCGCAACCAAGAACCGAGATCCCCATCGGACCCAACCACGACGCCGGGGTCCGCGGCTGGCCGAGGCGAGTCACACGTGTCACGCAATATATCACCACGCGTACAGCAGGAGGGATTTCTCTACACTCGTTGGCGATTTGTCGCGAGCGCGCGCGCGCGCGGGCTCCTCGACGAGCTCTCGCTCTCCGTTCCGAGAAATTCGTCAGAGAAGCGACCGGACACCGCGAGTAGCCGCGATCGCGTCTCCACGGATACTGCGGTCGATCTATACCCACACCCCCGCACTACGAGCTGCCCCTACCTCCGCCATCTCGCCACTCACGCTGCACCCCGGATTGGAGGTCGTAGCCCGGTAACTTCCCAACCAGGGCTCCGTGAGAGCCGTGTAACACCTCTTTCGTGTCCAATGGCGCTCGGCTTTTCCCTACCCCGGGGTGCGGTGCGACGCGCGACGGCACGTCGTCCATTTCCGCGCCGTCGAGCGAACGCCGTCCAACGCGCGCGGTAGGTACGGAGGGCCGGCGTTCCCTCGGCCACCTCCTTCGCATCGTCGAGAGACCGACGAGAGTAACCAGCCAATCCGATCGGACACATCGTGATTGCCGTCGTACATTACGTCGGGAAGACGAAGGTGGACTCTGTCTATCTTCTTCCGCGCGCGCGTCGCGATACGCGAATCGATTCACGGGGCTACCCTCGTTGTCGGTGCCCTCACCTTCCAACGAGGCTCACCGACGAGACAACGGTGCTCGCTTCGACGAGTTCGATTGCCCGGCCCGACGATGTATGGGCCGGGTAGACGAGTTTCGAGTACATTTGCGAGTAAACGTGATAATCGTTATCGCTTCACGGTGCTTCTCGGCGCGAAATTATCCCTCGAGAGAGTATCCTCTTTCGCTGGACAACGCGCGCACGCGCATGCCGCGACCTTGGTAGCACCTTGCCCTCGATCCTCCTGTCGGTCGCTCTCGAGAGTACGCGGCATCGATGAAATTTCGATCGACGTTTCTTTTTGTTAGCCAGATCCAATCTAATCGTTCAATTTAGATCGAACCTTCACACCGCTGTCAGTCCAAACGGCTATGGCAAATGGAAAGGTGGGAGAAGGTAAACCAATCGCAGTGAATCGCAGCACCTTCCGCGGTCAGGGCTCTACTGCGAGTAGGCGTGCCGCTACGCCTTGCGTCGAGCCGACAAAATGGCAATTCTCCTTATTAGCGGTGCACCCTGGCCATCGACATATGCATCGACATCCGAGACTGAAATTATATACTTCCGGTTCGAAAGGCATCGTGCGATTGAGGCCAGTTCAAAAGATCGAAACTGTTCTCTGTAAATTCATTTAATAATAATATGTAACTCGGTATGTTTGTTTATCTCGTAAGTTCCTCTACAAAGGGCAAACTGTCAGTTATATATCTCTCAATTTCGAATCGGATCGTGATAACAATGTTCCCACAGGACGTCTTGTAAGACGCGCGATTGTAATTTTAGCAGCGGATCTCGTAAGGAATTTAGTGTCGACTTTTGCTCGACAAAAATGCCTAGGGAATATTCTGTGTTATTTAATGTACTTCATCTCGTCATAACCTGAGATGGAATTTATTTAAACTGGTCCATCATTTGATGATCCTGTGAAAGAGAGATCAAAACAGAAGGAACAAAGAAAAGTAGACAGGAACAACGAGAACACAGCTTATAGCTGCAATTGGAGAAAAATGTTCGGGATTATCGCGTGAAGATTGAGAAAGAGAGAAAGAAAGAGAGAGAGAGAGATACGCTTTATTGAAAATCTACAATCGTATATTTAACGTAGATAAGAAATAATGTATAACATGCACTACACGTAATGTGTATAATCACACATCAAGCCTCGACGGCCTGAGACCTAAACGCTGGATTACATACTCTGGCATACAATACGTGGGATTGATCGGTTTCAACGAATAGTGCTTGTCTAACAACGATAACGCGGTGAGGCCGAACAACGTGTGAAAAGGATCGGCTAAATCACCAGGTCGATCGCTGAAACCGCCGGATTCAACGTCTTGACAAGTCAAGATATAATTCACCTATAATGAGATGTACATTAAAGTTCCTCATTGCAGCTATTTTGATTAATGATGCCAGATGCGAGAAAACATATGCTCAAAGTTGCGGAATACGTCGAAACATAAAATAATGTGTCCGTAAAATGACACTTGTGGTCGAATATATTTGTAAAATATTCCGAAAACTTTCCAGCCAACCAATAAATAGCCGTAAAATTAACTTGACGAGTTCATGAGAAAAACTAGGTTGCATATCATTAATTTTACGCTTAATGATTATTAAAGCAAAAGAAATTGGAATATTTTACAAATATGTTCTGTTTCATCCCGTGTTTCTTTATAGGTATATCCTTCGATTTCAGCGTGTTTTACAAGAATTTTGGACATGCGTTTTCTTGCCTCTGACATCAACTGAGAATTCAGCGCCGAAGGACCCGAGGCTTGAAAGAGAATCGATCAACAATCTCAGTCCAATGTGATATAGTTTGAATGTATTTTACTCACTAAGCGCTTCTTATCTATCCAATGGAGGCGTCCCAAGATCGCCAACGCTGATAAAACCCACCAAGAGTAACACACATCCGGCAATTTTTCCGGTCTACCGTTCAAACCGCCCGAAGGCAGTTGTCTTTCGCACAACCACCATCCTAAACGATCTGCATCTATTAAATGCAGATGACCTGAAAAGTATGCCAATAAGCGACGATACTTTTCGCTAGAGAGAAATAACTTAAAATTAATTTCAAAAAAAATTGTACTTGAAAAACATTTTTGTAGTTCTGAGACATTGCACAATAACTTGTACATACTGTACACTTAGAAAAATATAATTTTATTCTTAATGGAATCCTTTCAGATTAGTCTCAAGTGTATAGTCTTAAGATAATCTTCTAAAACTAAAAGGAAAATGTTCTAACACTAAAAAAAAAGTTTATCAGTTGCTCAATTCTAAGTGATCAACTTGAAAGTCAGAGCTTATAATATTATGAGATTTTTTCTCTATTTCGTGTATTATATGCTTTTTAAATCTTAAGCCATTTTTTCCACACCCTGTATATGTTCATTTTGTTTTACCAAAATATGACAGCAGGACTTACCTGCGTATATAGAAGTCTGTGGCGAAACGTTTTGCCAAAAAAGTATTCCTCTTCTAATAAAATAGACTGTTAATATCGGAAATCTACTAGATATTCATCTTTTAATCTTTTAAATCAAGAGGAATATCTATACAAAAGACGTAACAAACAAAACTTGCAGATAAAAAAAGACGAAATTCCTCTAAGTTTTAAACTCCTGGTCCCATAGCTCCTGCTATGGAACTCTGAACTAATAACATCAAAAATTAAAAAATGTGTATTATTTTCAAATGAGAAGACATTTGTATAAAAAGTATTTCAAATCACTTGAGATACTTGCAAAATAATCCGAAAACTATCTTTTAACCTTCACAGTTAATAAATAGCCTTAAAGTTAACATAGCAAAATCATATGGAAAGATAGGTTAAAGAAGTAGGTTGCAAATTACGAGAGACCAGAAACCTCAAGAGTATTATGCTCGGAACATTTTCCTTTTGGTTTTTAAAAGAATCCTCATATAGAAGCCATAAAAGAATTTCACCAAGAGATTATATATATATATATATATATATATATATATATATATATATATAT